CTTTCTGTCAATGCAAAGTTTATGGCAAGTATACACTATCCGGCCAAAAGTATCCTGAGATACAGTTGTTAGGGTGGAAGAAGCATAATGGTGTGGGGGTGCTTCTCGTGGTTTAGCCCGTGTCCGTTAGTTCCTGTGGTTGAAAATATGAACTCGGAGATGTATGTGGACATTCTGGACAATGCTGCACTCCCAACTCTATAGCAATATTTCGAACAGGAATAGCTTTAGATAATACGTGGGAAGAAAGTAAGTAGTACAACCTTCTATCATGAACAACTGAATAATAGAGCATCCTGGAATTAAAATGAAGTGGAACAGATGTCTGCAACCCTTCAATGTATGGACAGTCCTTAAAAGTGGCTTTCATTTTCTGATGAGGTCAATTTAATAGCACATGTTAAGATGCCTATAATGGTCAAATCAAAGCTTTCCATAACGTGGCAACTATATTAAGGAATAAAGCTTGTTTCCATGAGATTAAAATGAAGTGGAACAGATTTCTGCAACCCTTCAATGCATGGACAGTCCTTAAAAGTGGCTTTCATTTTCTGATGAGGTCAATTTAATAGCACATGTTAAGATGCGTATAATGGTCAAAACAAAGCTTTCCATGAGATTAAAATGAAGTGGAACAGATGTCTGGAACCTTTTCGCGCATGAAAAATGAAGTCAACTTTACAGATGCATAGTGGTCAAACCAAAGCTTTCCTTATCAGAGTTCTGAGCAAACTTTTACAAAAGTATCATTCATAAATGAAGATTTTGTCTTGAAAGTGTGTGATAGGACCTTCTACGTGAAACAACAAAATAATGAAATTCCTCTGTAACTGCTCTCTGGAAAGCGCATCATGAAGTTAAATTGCAATATAAAATTTTTCTTTAAAGCACACAAGCATTAACAGCAACATGAGATGAAACTGAATTAAGATACCAGCATTTTGGATTCCACATTTGCCAGATAAGAATTACTATTTTTTTAATCTCTTTCTTCGGGCATTGTTCCATACTATATGTGTGAGATGAGTATAAAAGAGAGAAGTGGTTGACATCTTCTGAAAGGATGATTTTTATCTCTCCTTTAATGACTAGTTTGATCACTTGTAATATGCATTATTCTGAATATTCAAAATATCTTTGAGGAAACTAAATTTATTTATTTTTTAAAAAAAAAATGTTTTAGCTATTACTAATGGACACTAAAAAAAAAATAATAATAATATCATAACCCTTATTTTAAACATCCATATACAAAAAAAAAAAAAAAAAAAAGACAACACTTCAAAAATTAAAATACACCATCATGTTACTCACTCTGTAAGAACAGCATATCTTGTTGGCACAAGGAAATTTTTTGTATCAAAATTTTTAACCTCCTAAATTATAAAATTAGCCTTAATTTTTAAAAAATAAAATCCCAAAATTTAGTTCAATACAATATTAAAACAATCTATAATCTTTTTTTAATACACATCTTTCTTGATCCAGATATACTAATTTGAATATTTAGAACAAGAATAAACAGAAATTCAAGCTACCTTAAAATTAAAAGTGCATAGGTATGGTAAATGCTTAATTTTCGGCAAGTCAAGGGTGATTGTGAGCCCAGCTTAAAAAACCTGGAAATTTCTTGAGTAAAATCATTAATGTTGCATTTCAAAAAAATAATGTCTTTATAATTTTAAATCATTTATATTTTCAAAACATGAAATTCTAAATAAATTATATGCAGTATAATTTAAATGAATAATTATTTATAAGTTTACTTTTACCTCTAATCACATTTATTATTCTACCAGAAAAAAATTTTTACAAATGAAAGAAATGCCAAGTATAAATTCTATTTCCAATGTTTTTAAATAAAATATGCGAGAATTTTAATACATAAATGTAAACGATGATTTCTAGGAACTTCAGGACCTAGATTTTCTGAATAGCAATTAGCCAAATGTCTGGAAATCCGGATTTTTTCTGAGCATGATCATCTCTGGCAAATTCAAAATAGCACATACATAGCTGCCAACTCTACTGGATTTTTCCAGTTTCTCCTGGTTTAATAAAAATTTGCCTGGTTTTTGTACATTTTAGAAAATTCCCTAAAATTGAGTACGTTTTATAAAAATTGCTATTGAAATATAATTTTTATACAGATTATTGCTTGAATATTTAAATAAGTATTGCTAATATATAATGAAGCAATCCTCATTTATAAAAATCAGTTCGAAACTCTTTTTGTTCTAAAATGTTCGGTTTATTTTTATTCAGAACTCCCTTTTTACACATATTAAAAAATCTTAATTATTTCATATGAATTATATGCCTATTCAAAATTACGAGCAAACATAATTCACAACATTTCAAGCATATTTAGTGCCAATTATGACTGGGAAATAGTGCACTTTTTCTATTTTGATGTCGATAAAAATCCCTAAAATTCGCCGTGTCTAAAATATTTAGCACATTTTGCTACAGTTATCATGAAATTTATATTATTTTGTAAAATCTACTTGATTTTTGCCTATGTATGTTGGCAGCTATGCACATAGTTAAAATACAACTCTTAATTTCATAAATAAAAAAAAAGGGCAAATTTGTCTCTACATATTATCTAAATGATTTTATTATTTCTTTACTTTGCCAAGTTTGAACTGATAATAATCCATTAAAATTTTCTTTATTTGTCCCAAGTATTCATTCCAAAATCTAATAATAAGCAGGACACTTACTGTAAAAGTCTTGGGCAAAATTGAAGGATTATGGGATATAAAAGGTGCAAAGAAATTTATAGGTACAGAAAAATGAAGTAAACTGCATATATTATAAGAACTGAAGGAAGTTTATACAGTCAAACCCCGCTATAGTGAACCTTCAAGGGACCGAAATTTTGGTTCACTATAACCGGGAGTTCACTATATCCGTTTCTAAAAAAATTTAACTAGTGGTTTCCAAACTCCTCCCTTTTATTACACATTATTCAAATAAATGACTGAAAAATATTGTGTAGCAGCAAAAAATTTGTTATTTTTCATTACTCTTCTACTGAGAACAAAAATGAGTTGAAATGAGAGCCTTATCAACACATATTAGTGTCCAACCCTTTGACCAATAATGAATAATTTCTCATTCCCTTTGACAGAAAATGCATATTGATCCGACTGACACCTTACAGGTGCATCGTCTGCCTGGGTTGGAAACATCTGCTTGGTTTGTTTAAGGATGGGAAAGTGAGATAAAAGAAGCAAACAAGAAAAAATGCATATCGCTACATTCCCCTCTACAGATGGTTTTGAAAATCGGTATATGCATTTAATTTGAAGTAGAAATTATAAAATTATTACAACAAATTTTTTAAAAAAATCAGTTGAAAACAGAAAAAAGTTCATTATATCCAACTTCCTCACTTTTTTGGTTCACTATATAAACAAAAAATAACATTACACATGTATAGCAAGGCACGGGACCGAACATTTCGTTCACTATATCGGGGTTTGACTGTATTTACATTTTAGCAATAGAATAGATAAAATATTTAATTGAAAACAAGGTTACAGTCCATTTTTGGATAACAAGTTTGTGCTGTCAATTATTTTTGTTTAAACAATTTGATAATAAGCAACACAACCGCCTACAACAGTGATTCTCAACCACTGTGCTGCCAAATATTGGAAATGATACATTAAGTTTGTAATCCTTTTTTTATTACGAGTAAAGTTTAAATTTAAAAAAAAGTGTATATATAAATATCTATACTTTTTATAATTTTTCCACGCTTTTCCTTGTTATTTTAGGTGATTTTTAAATTTCCCGGATTTTTCAGGTTTTCCCTGTTCTCACTGTGGAGTGGCAAACCTGATAAACTACCAGCGATAGTTTATTTAAGAATTGTCTAAAATCAAATAATCAACAAATCACTAAAAAAAAAAAAAAAAAAAAAAAAAAAAAAAAAAAAAAAAAAAAAAAAAANAGAGAGAGAGAGAAAAACACTAACATTTTTGGCAAAATTTCAAACTTAAAAAACTGTGCTCGGGGGGGGGGGATATTATGATCAGAGAATTTTTAGCATGAGTGTTGTTTTCATCTGGTTTTAATTTTCAGGACTAAACATTCTAAAAGAGATGCTGTTCCAATAGATGTAACATGGTAATGTACAAAGGATACTCAAAATCAAAAAGAAATCCATAAATATTTAAAATCAAAACAGAACCTATAACAATTTATATTTCTTTTCTACTGGTTGTTAAAAAAATATCATAGTATCCCCCACTTAATAATATCAAATTCATTGTCATACTAAAGGCACAAGAAAATTTCACAGAGCATCTTCATTTTAATGCAATGAACATCAACTATCTTAAAAAAATCTATTTTTTATGACATTGTAGATGGTGCAATGATGATGCCTGACACTGTTAATTAAATTAACAGCTGCAAAAATTTATTCTGATGTCTATAGCACTATACTCAGAACATATCACTGAAAAATGTCTTGAAGCTATTATTAATCCTAAGTAGCAAGTACAGTTTTGTGTGGAACAGGAAAGTGAAATCCTAAGTTCCATTGCTGGTTTTGTTCTCCTTGAGGTCTTTTGTCAAATCAATTGAACACCTTGCTTCCTTTTCAAATTTCTAAGAAGAGTTTTTCTGACTGATTCTGAGAATTTTAAAGGGATCTTAACTTGTTCCTTCTATTTTTATATCAGGTGGATGATAACAAGGCATTGTTAAATTTTTTTTTAATGAAATTCTAATACTTGTGTGGTCTAACAGAATGGACATCAACAATCTTTAAAAAAATCTATTTTTTACGTCATTATAGATGGTGCAATGATGATGTCTGACACTGTAAATTAAATTAACAGCTGTAAAAATTTACTCTGATGTCTATAGAAAACTATTAAACTATTATTAATCCTAAGTAGCAAAGTACAGTTTTGTGTGGAATAGGAAAGTGAAATCCTAAGTTCCATTGCTGGTTTTGTTCTTCTTGAGGTTTTTTTTTCTTGTCAAATCAATTGAACATCTTGCATCCATTTCAAATTTCTAAGAAGAGTTTTTCAGACTGATTCTGAGAATTTTAAAAGGATTTTAACTTGTTCCTTTCATTTTTATATCAGGTGGACGATACAAGGCATTGTTAAAATTTTTTTAAATCAAATTCTAACACTTGCGTGTGGTTCTGAAAACTACTACTTATAAGCCCACATTTTTTTTTTTACAAAAAAGTTGATCTTTGTACTTTGAAAAATAGATTATCATGTTTCATACAGAATAAAATACACACACTAAAATGTACACTGTAACTACTTATCCAAAATATCTTTCAAGTTTCTGAATTGTTCAACAATACTTCTGTTTAACTATAAACAAGCTCACGGGAATCCCGTTCAAATACTGACCACTGAGATACTTGACCGCTTTCTCAGCTTCCCGCAAACTTAAAAACGTCACTCGAATGTCACCGAGGGGCTCTCCCATGTCACTGTACCTGCGAATCATCCTGTCTTCTGTCACATCAAAGCTGTGAAAAAAATCTAAAAGATCCGGACTTCGAACGAGAGGATGAACGTTACTCATTTCCACAATCACTTCACCAAATATGTCATCATTGATGTACTTGTCTTTGTAGCTTTTCCTGTGCTTTCGAGAAGGCGAACGAGATTGATGACGATACCTTTCAGGTGGATCAGAGTAATCCACATCTACCTCATCCGAAGAATATTTTTCTAGTTTTTTTCGTTCTTCACCTCTTTTAAAACTGTTCTTCTTACCGAAATCCCCCATTTTTTCATATGCAGCAGGGGACTCGCACCTTTCCTCTGAATCTTTCCTCCGAGCTTCTTTGACGGTTTTGTGGGAAATTACTTTCACAATTTCAATTTCTTTTTCTGGAGTCAACTTGGAGAGTTTAAGGGTGGGATTGTTTTTGACAGATCTATCAAAAGCTTCATCCGCCTTTGTGTTTTTTGCAACAGATTGCTTGATTTTTACTTCAAACTTTACTGGCATCCTCAGATCCTCCTTGGATCTTGAATCGAAATATTCCTCGTTTGCTTTACCTCTGAGGTAATCTTCATCGATGTCAGATTGAAATCTCTTCTCTTCGTTGTGGCCTCTATTTGAAGGAGAACTCTGAAATCTCTCCTCTTCATTGTGGCCTCTATTTAAAGGAGACTGAAATCTCTTCTCTTCATTGTGGCCTCTATTTGAAGGAGACTGAAATCTCTCCTCTTCACCATAGCCTCTATTTGAAGGAGGCTGAAATCTCTCCTCTTCATTGCGACCTCTATTTGAAGAAGAATTCTGAAATCTCCTCTCTTCACTGTGTTCTCTATTTGACGAAGATCTCACCTCTTCACCATGGTCTCTATTTGCAGAATAATCCATGTTACGATCATTTTTTTTAAATGAATGTTGAAAACCAGTGGGACTTCCTGCACCTTTATGAAAGGAATTGTTCTGTACTGAGATCAAATTCGAATTATCACGAAAGGATCGATTGGGAGGGTCCCATACATGAGGAGATTTTGCCGGTAAATTTCCCACCTGGACTAAATTAGAGGATGATTTATCTGCATAATCATGCTTGGCTTTGTGAGTGCTCAGTATTTTGGTCATTTCATCGTACAAAACCTGCTTCACGCAAATCATGTTCTGGCCAATTTTCTGACCATGGCATTTAAGGGCGGCATCAAAGTCTCTGATATTCGTAAATTCCGCAAACCCCCTGCCGGTGGGTTTTCGCTTGTAACTGACCAAAAGGTGTAAGGCATCGGGTTTCACCCCTCCGTGTTCTTCGAAGAATGCAGACATCAAGGAGATTTTTATGAAAAACGGCAATCCAGTGAGCAGAGCGCACAGAGGCCGCTTCGGTCCAGGCGGCTTCTCGAACGCCGCGGGAGTGTGCAGGGGGAGATATAAACTAGGATTGAAAAATCCATTATTTCTTCCCTTGGTGTCCATCATTTCCTGTCTGGTGCAAGGTATCATTTCGATGAATGCGAGGCCGAGTTTCTTTCCGTGCATCAAACGAGCCCTCTCGTAGTCAGCCATGTTGGTGAAACATATGTAACCCTCGCCTGTCATTTTTCCGGACGGCAAACACTCCAAATAGACATCAGCGATTTGAAATCCGTAAAAGAAATGCATTATCTCCTCGTGAGTGATGGTGAAGGGCAAGCCTTTAATTTTGTAGTAGAGCTCAGCGTCTTGAATGATGGCTTGTCCAGGAAGGGGTGGAACGGAAGGAGGCGGGAAATATTTCTCATAGACACTGTTCGGACACTCGCTCACTGTGATGATTTTGTTATTGAAAATATATGTTGCTTGAGCTAAGATCTGATTGAAATCTTCTTTATTCATCAACTTCAGGAACGCTGTCCCAGTCTTGAAGCCGGAATCGTCCACCTCCCACCTGATGTTATCCTGCGGGGCAAATATTCCTTTCAGCATGGCTTGCAAATCACTGTTTGTCCAGAGGGGATCTAATCCCGAGATCGTAATATAATATCCAGTGAAGGGGATGAAAGATTGCTGCACGGAGGAAACAGCAACGAAAGGAGGGGGAGGAAAAGCTTGAAATTCTGGAACACCAGCCAAAGGATTCACACCAGGAATAAAGTTAGACATAGCCGCAACTGACGGCTGATTTCCCATCAAGTCTGGGATGGCGCCGAAAAACCCTTCTCCAAAAGTCTGCACGGGTTTAGGGTATGGTTCCACAGTGAGGGGAGGAATTTGTTTGCTCATCCCGGATTTATCGTCTCCACACGAGCTCATGCCGAAGGCGCTTTCGACGAATCCGGTGTTCAATGCTTTTGCAATCCTTTCTTCTAACTGACGCTGTTCCTCGCTGGTTGCAAGACTGTTCGGTGAATCAGGACCAGTTTTGATATTTCGAGTACGTTCGTCGTATTTGGAATCATGGTAACTTCTTTTATTATCAGATCTAAAGGAATCTGCATAACTGTCACAAGTGCTGCCGAAAGGTGAAATGCCTCTCGAGTTAGGACTACTTTGACGAGGCGGCGAAGATCTTCGATAATTGGAAGAACGTGATCGTTCGTAAGGGGATCTCGACCTCCTAGGTGAATGGCTTCTTCTACTGTAGCGATCTTCACGAGGTGAGTGAGATCCGTAATTTTCACGGTGATTTCTTTGCGAGCTTCGATCACGACCACGAAGAGGACTTTGCCTGGAGTGTCCATAGCTTTTATACTTACTAGAAGGAATCAAAGACTCGTACTTCGTGATTCGTTCAATGGCATGCTGCATTTCCATGTAGCTGCTTAATAAGAGTTTGATTTTGGAGTCTTTAATTTTACCACGATCTTTCCTCATAGCAATGCGAGCATCCTCATCCGAATTGAAAGCAATGAAAGCATCCCCCTTGTCACCACCGACAATGTGCACACCGCCATCTGGAATATGCAAACCCCGAAAGAAGTGACGTATATCAGACGATTTAGCCGAAAGAGGCAGATTTTGAAGTCGGATTATTACAGACATAGCCTTCAAAGAAAATAACAACCTAATGGAAAATAAAAAGGAAAATAATACATTAAATGCCAATAAATTTATGAAAACACATTTGAATATCAAGTCCTTTTATATACAAAAACATAGAAAAGTATTGTTATTGAAAACAAAAATCATTATATTTTCTTATTATTTTTGTTAAATATAAGGCACTGATACAAAACATAATATTCAAGTTTTAGGTTTCAAAACATTCTGACTTTGGCAGGGTCTGTTTATTTGTCATCCGAAACATTCATCTTTTATAAAGCTACTTACAGAATTTCACTCTTTTTCAAGGTAACTTATTTCTTGAAACTCTTTTTCAAGGTAACTTATTCTTATTTACCCAGCTACGTCACAGTACATACAATTGAACAAAACACGCCCAGTTTTTGCAATTCACAATGAAAACTTTCAAATAAAATATTGAAAACTGTCAATCAAAACAGAATATTTTCATTTATCAAGTTAAAACAAATCACACAAAATCTTTCTGCTACACCCCAAGTTTTCTCAGGATTGTAACCTGATGTTCAAAATTAAGGTGGCAAAATTTTTTTTTCAAAATAATTCTAAATTGCTACCAATAAAATTGAAAGAATTTGCTTATTATATATTTTGAAGAATGGGTACAGCAACAACAACAGTGAAAAAGTAGTTGTTTATTGGTAGTTTTTGCTGCACAACTGTAATAAAGTAAGTTATAGCATCTGGAATTTCTGCCTACAGTTTAGTGATTATTGTATTAAAAAAAATAATAAAACCAGATTATCCTGTTTGCAGTAAGAAAGAGTCCCATAATTGCATAAGACATGTTAAGATACGGTTCCCAGTAGATCACCGAAGTCAAGCATAACTGGCTGCGGTCAGTGCGCAGGTGGGTGACCACTTTGATCAGTCTGTGTAGGGACAGTGTGGTATGGGCCCTTGTTAAACTGTTCAACCGTAAAGTGCTCGACTTCACACGCAGGTCATTGGGCTACCAAACCCCTCTGCAGAGGATCAAAATCATGATGGCATGTCTTCAGATCATCCTCAGGGATGTATCCCAGAGTGACACCAATAGCCCATTGAGCAGCTTTAGTGCGACGTAAATGAACTACAACAACAACAAGATGATTCCTTGAGATGGAGAGCTATTTGAACCTGATCAGCCTGAAGCGGAGTTGGTTTCATTGCTACGAGTGGCATTGAAACTGGTATCCAGCTAGTGGAACCAATTTCAAACAAATGGTAGATCCTCTTCAGAAGATCAAAATCGCAATGGCATGTCTTCAGATCATCTTCAGGGATTTTTCCCAAACCAACACCAATAGCCCATTGTGCAGCTCTAGTGCGACATAAAAGTGATGGCATGATTCAGGTCAAACTACAACAACAGCAAGATGATTCCTTGACCTATTTGAACCTGATCAGACTGAAGCGGAGTTGGTTTGATGGCTACAAGTGGCACTGAAAGTGGTATCCAGGTAGTGGAACCAATTTTAAACAAATGGTATTGTCATCACTACTAGGCAATTTGGGTGTAGTGTGGCAGGCATCCTCGTGGTGCACCCTGGGTAACACTAAATCTGCTACAGCCTTCGTCTATGACTGGGGAGCATCTATCTGATTGCCCCTCTCTTCTTGACATTCGTCCCTGTGACGACTTTTGTGCCCTCTCACTTTCTTGACGCCTTATATCTGAGAAGACAATGGTGGTCGTAATTTCATATTAAAAAAAAAACTACTAGGCAATTAAGCTCACATTGACATAAGCTTAAAAGGGCTTCTAAGCTTATTTGTGGCCTTGCCTCTGTGTCTGAAATAAGAATTTGTAGGCAAACAGATATAGACCTCTAGCAAAAGGGGGCTTTTTTGATCAGCCATCGGCCGCGTCTTTTTGACTGAATCTAAGGATAGCCTGGATGTTGCTGACACGCATCAGAACAAGACACAAGAATGCGGGTGCGTTCTTTTCAGTGACAAAATCTGCCAATTCGCAAAAGTCCTTCATGTTCCCATAACAAATCAAAACGTCTAGGGCTACTGGATTGGAGATCGGGTTTTCTCTGATTCAGGTCAGAATTACGATCTGTGGATGATTGAATGGGTTCGCCGTATAAATGGGTGTGACATATGAGTGTGGCAGAAGTCAAATACTTGGCCATAGATGGCACCACTGAAAAACAAGAAACGCACACTCTGCCTTAAATTTGCTCGGTTTCACCAAACAGGCTTGCCGTGTGGCAAGTGGTATTAGAAACAACAATATAAAATAAATTCACAGATTTGATGGTAAAGGAATCCTTGTCAACATAATGTTGGGCTTTTGTGCCACCACACATCGCTAGAGTGATGAGTTCCTTGAAGCCTATGTTCAGGGGTGGTACTACTGGCCCAGACATCTTTTACAAAGGTGAAAATGAGCGGACATATAGAACTCAAATTGTGTATGATTTTCTTTAAGAGGACTTTTGATGTATGAGTTAGCCCTTCTTAAAAGTCTCCTGATCTCGATCCTACTGAACATGTTTGGGATGGTCCTGGAATAGCCGCTGAACAACGGAACTCCCTCCTAAGGCAGTTCAGGAGTTAAAAGCTAATGATGTGAGTTAACGTACTTTGTTGCCACAAGAACTTCTGGACACCCCCATGAACAGTATGAGGCTTGTATAGCAGTGCTACACTCCATACCAAACAGATTTTTCCGGAGACAAAGTAGGGTACGTAGTTAAATGTTTCAACAAAATAAGCACCTTTTAAGTACTTCTTAAGCACTCAAAAAATATTTTTAAGCACTATGTACACTAACAAAATGCAAAATAATTTTCAAAAACTTTACATGATAAAATAACTAGTTTCTGACAAAGAACTCCTTTCTTGATTATATTAGCCATTATAAAATGATCAAGAGATTTTTCGGTTCAATATCAGAAAGTGGAAAATGAAGCCTGACATTGAGAATATCTTGCAAAATGCAACAGAGTTGCACATGAGAGTGCAAGAATCTCACGAAACCCAGCTCAGCATATGCACAAGCGGACTCCCACGTATTACATTAAACATGCAAAATAAGTGACATGGTAGCAAACAGTTTTCTACCGCGGGCCGAGCATTAAGGGTTGGCGGGCCGCAGGTTGTGTACCCCTAATGTAAACTAAAAATAATAAGTACATACTTATATTTATGAAAACAAGGGACAATCCATTTAAAAATAAAACATTACAATAGGTTTCGATATTTCGTATAAAAGTAAAATCAGGAAGCAATATTTTTTTAAAAGAGTAAATATAAAGGGAAAGTAAATATAAAGGGAATTTTTTTGTACTACATTAAATTTTATATATTTAAATTTAAACTAATATTTACTGCTAAAAAATAGTACTGATCATTTTTTGAGTTAATCATTAAATGTTCAACAATAAAATAATTAACTATTCAGAAATTTGAGGTGCATCCAGAAAGTAAGTTTCCCTAATTTATTAAAAAAAAGAACTCACACTTTCAGGAAAATACTTATTGGCAACTAGTACAGCAATGTTTCAGCTATTTTTCAACATAGCCACACCAGAATTGAGACACTTGTTACATCGTGGGATCAACTTTTGTATCCCTCTGTCGTAGAACTCTGCCGCCTGTGAACGGAACCAGCACATGTGGCAGACGTCTACCGTTACTGTGAAAACACTGTGGAAATTGTGACGTGCCATTCAAAACAAGAGTCGTGGAATGCTTACTGCAAGTGTTGAGCTCCTCCATGACAATACTTCTCCACATACGACATGACGCCCAGCAGCTGTTTTGACGGAATTTGGCTTGGAGTTGTTTGATCATCCACCCTACAGCCCTCCTAGCCAACTTTCCAGTTTTCTTGCACCTCAAAGAAATTCCTGTCCTCCTCTGAGCGTTTTGGCAACGACGAAAATCTGAAGACGTCTGTCACATGCTGGTTCCGTTCACAGGCACTTACTTCAAATAGAAAAAAAAATACCTCAAGTTTTTTTTAAAATGGATATCAATCATTGATTGTTTTTAAAGTTATCTCATTTTTAAGTAGATTATTTTAGGAATCTAAATTAAGAATTGGGCATGAGAAATATCCTTTTAAAGTATTTTAATAATTTCTAGTAACAAGTTAGTTGGAACAGACACTACAGTAAAGAAATCAATGATCATTATGTAGTTGAATTGAATTGATCTAAGAAGTCCTGAAGCAGAACTTTTTCCTGCTTTTTGTGAAACTTCCCAAGCACTAATATTTTGGTTTAAGATACTTTCAATTATAATAATTACTAATTTAAAGTAACAGAAACATTGTGTTTACAGAAGAAAGCATAGAACAAAAATGTATAAAAAATTGTAATTGAGAAAACAAATTTTTTTTAAAATTTTAATATTATAGGCGATATTCTCGCATTTTGTAGGTGGAAAAATGCACTAATTATTTCCTTTTTTGAATTCTGCAAATTATTAAAAAAATTAAAATTCGTAAAAAAATTAAACGATAATAAATTCAAATTCGTACATTAACTCCCAAAATTAATATCACGAATCACGCGAATAAGACTCCTTAAAAAAAGAGATACTCAAATAAGTATTTATAAAATATGGTGTTCATTAAAGAAAGAAAGAGCATCATTTCTAGAGTGAACTATCTTTTAAACTTTCGCAATTATTTTATTCTATATTATTAATTTGAAATTCTAGCTGAAGCCAGTCATTGCCGATTTTTTAAAAAAATCTCAAATGAGAATAGAAAAAATGATTATTATTTCTTTCTTCTCTGACACTCAAGAAGACATATAGGGTGACCCGGGGAAATTCACGATCACTCTGTTTCTGGGGTAAATAATGATCACCTAAGTTTTATTTTAAAAGAATTATTATTTTTTAAATTTGAGACATGGACAAGAATGCTTGTACCCTTTACTAAAGTATAACTACATTTACTTAATAATAGTTTTTGTTTAATCTAACAAAATAAGTATTCTTTAAACTGCTTTCTGTATTTTCCATATCAAAGATGGGTTTCAAATAATGCACATTTCTGCAAAGATCCCTCTCCTTCTCTTAATAATAAATATTTTGAGTTACTTTATTTTTCTTTGATAAAAAAAATAGTGTAAGCTTTTGTTTAATTGTTTCACATCTACTGTAAACATTATTATTGATTGTAGGAAAATATATCAAATGTTGCCCCCTACAGATGGGGTAATTATTGATCACTGGGGTAATTCCTGATCATTGTCATTTCTTCTTATAAACAGTATGAAAAAATAGCTAATTGTCTTTTCTTAAGTAACAATTCATATTTATTAAGTGGAACAACTATAAAACATATTTTAACTGTAATCACAAAATTTGTTTTTAACTCTATACAAGACAAATGTGTTCTGATTTGCACCATTTCTGGTTTGTCTTACCTTCCTTAATTTTACGTGTGTACATTGTTAGAATAATTGTTAAGTTTATAAATTAACCTAATATAAATATGGTGAGAAATTATAAGCCTGAAAAGGATACTAAGCTTCTAGAAAGGAAAATCAGTGAATTTCTTTTAATGATTGAAAATGAAAATTTCAGTGTGAGAGCTGTTGACATACCTTACTTAACTTTACACTCTCACTAAATGAAGTTAAAAAGTCCAGCAAAAGTAACCCATGTGGGAACTCTCTCTTATATTCCAGTAGAACTTGAGAATGAGTTGGCTGCTTGCCTAAAATGTATGGCACAATGCAAAGATTTTTTGAAAATTTAAAGTGTTAATCTTTATTCTTGCTTTTAAATAAATCGTTTCATTAGCTGCTTAAACATGTATTTTTGGTTTATTTGTTTGATCTTGATGTCTTATTTGTAAATTACCAATGTATAATTATTTTTAAACAGCCCCTTTACTATAAAAACTGGTGATCAGTAATTACCCCAGAAGTGAGGAATTACCTCAGAAATGATCAAGAGAAGGGGTAATTCCTGATCACTAAAAATTTAAAATCTTTAAATTCTAATTAGATTTTCAAACAAAAGAAGGTAACATAGGACTCATCTCATAAACCCTCAAACTTCCAGTAAATATCAAAATTCTATCTAGAATATTTTTTTCACAAAATACATGTTTGGATTTTTTGATCAGGAATTACCCCAGATCACCCTACTAAAAAAAAATTCTGCACAAAAAAAAAAAAAACATTTTTCGAAAAATTATGCAGAAAGGAAAACCAAAAATTTTTCCCTCCAAAGCAAAAATCTTTCTACAAAAATTCTGTAACGTTCTGCGACAATGTCGCAGTAATTCTACCTAAGAAGCAAAAATACCATTAATATGTTTTCCACTTTTAACTTGATGACCAGATTTTACTTTATAAAAAAATCAAGGTGAACAAGATTTTGGAATATATAACATTTGGAAGTTTGGTGGAAATGAACTACACACGAATTAATTATGTTCAATCATTTTAATTCGGACATTGAATAAAACTGTAAATTCAAGCTATGATCAAACTACAACANTGCGAAAGCTGCTGCCAGAGCTGTTGAGTTGACATACCTTACCTAACTTTACACTCTCACTTAATGAAGTTAAAAAGTCCAGCAAAAGTAATCTCTCTTATATTCCAGCAGAACTTGAGAATGAGTTGGCTGCTTGCCTAAAATGCATGGCACAATGCTAAGATTTTTTGAAAATTTAAAGCGTTAATCTTTATTCTTGCTTTTACATAAATCGTTTCATTAGCTGCTTAAACATGTATTTTTGGTTTCTTTGTTTGATCTTGATGTCTTATTTGTAAATTATCAATGTATAATTATTTTTAAACAGCCCCTTTACTATAAAAACTGGTGATCAGTAATTACCCCAGAAGTGATCAGGAATTACCTCAGAAATGATCAAGAGAAGGGGTAATTCCTGATCACTTAAAATCTTTAAATTCTAAATAGATTTTCAAACAAAAGAAGGTAGCATAGGACTCATCTCATAAACCCTCAAACTTCCAGTAAATATTAAAATTCTATCTAGAATATTTTTTTCACAAAATACATGTTTGCATTTTTTGATCAGAAATTACCCCAGATCACCCTACTAAAAAAAATTCTTCAGAAAAAAAAAACATTTTTCGAAAAATTATGCAGAAAGGAAAACCAAAAATTTTCCCTCCTAAACAAAAATCTTTCTACAAAAATTCTGTAACGTTCTGCGACAATGTCACAGTAATTCTACCTAAGAAGCAAAAATACCATTAATATGTTCTCCACTTTTAACTTGATGACCAGATTTTACTTTATAAAAAAATCAAGGTGAACAAGATTTTGGAATATATAACATTTGGAAGTTTGGTGGAAATGAACTACACACGAATTAATTATGTTCAATCATTTTAATTCGGACATTGAATAAAACTGTAAATTCAAGCTATGATCAAACTACAACAAGCAATAGTAATAGCACGAGTAAACAATATTTTCAATAAGTATTACATTTAAAAATGATTAAGTAAAAAACTGAGTATGAAATATTAATAAGATAATATCTTTTTAATCTGAGGCACAGGAAAAAAACAGATAAAAAAATAAACACTGGATATGCATGTTTGAGAAATAGATATTAACTAGAATATGAATTATAATAAAAACCACAATCTTTTGAATAAAATCATACAGGAATCGTTGGAGTTTACTATTTTTATAACATCATCAGCGAAAATAAAATCTTTTCACGTCTTCTTAACTGATCCGGAATAATAGATAAACCATGGACGTCTTTGGCTGCCTGTCTTTGATCATGATCAAGCAATTGTACGTCACTAACAATCCAATTTGATTGCCAACAAAGCAAGAAGCTTATTCTGATAGTTACTTTGGTAGGGGTTAGTAAGTGAGGTCTAAATTTCAAAACGGGTAGAAATAGTCAAGCAAAAGTATTTTGAAAATGAGCGTAGATGGTCTTTAGTCTAAATTCACTTTATTAGTTCTGCCAATATAAGTTAAAGTTATATACAAATTCGTTTTTGTTTATTAATTTTGATCAATTTTAAAGAGCAAACATGGCAAGCACATCAACGTCAAAGCCTCAGAAAATACCTAAAGTTGCAAAGGTAAGATGGATAGTTGATTATGCATGTGTTAAAAAATAATGGAAAATAAAGTCCATTATTTGAAAAATGTTTTATTATTTTATCGGGAATATTTTTGTATCAGGGTCTACGTCTAATTATATGCAATAGCCATTTATGTTGCTTCAGCTGCGTCGAAAATATATGTGAAAATATTTTAAGCTCCAACGAGTAACAAAATAAAAGAAAAAACCCCATCTTAGAATGTTAGATAGAGGGGATATTTCCGAATCGTAATCTGCCACTCTAACTACATTCGCCAAGGTGCCAAATTGATTTCAAACGGGAGAATTTTTTAAAGAAAAACATGTAGAGTAGCTATGAGTTATACCCTTCAAGCTGGTACCTTTCTATGATGTTTTATTCAGTTTCTCACTGGCCATTGTCAAGACGGGACGATTATTCTGCCTCAGATCACGATATGGAAATAATCTTTACAGAGTAACCGCGCACCTAGAAAGTCATGAATATTTGTATTGATCAAAATTTGTCATGATTTTAACTATTTTGTTTAAAAATGTCATGGATTTAGGTCACCGAAAAATTTTATTTTTAAAATGGAATCTCCCCTCCCCCATTTTGTGGTGTTCCAAATAGCTGAATTTGTAACAATATCTCCACTCAGAATCATATTTATTAAAATATGGAATGTTTTTACCATCATTTCTAGAGCAAAGTGTCTTTTAAACTTCTGCGATTTCTGAATTATTATTTATTTATTTTTATTTTATCAATTTAAAATTCTAGCTGAAGCAAACCAGTAATTGGCAAATTTTTTTTAATTCCGAAATAAGAACAGAAAAATCAGGAGTATTTCTTTCCTTTCTGATGAACAAGAAAAGTATCTTTAGAATATTATTCTGTAGAAAAAAAAGAAGAAAAATTATTTGCTCAGCTGTATTTTTTTCAGCTATTTTACTCCGTTTTTTAAGTTTAAAATCAATAAATATGAAATTGCAGAGTGTAACAGTTTTGGTTATACCTATCACTTCAATTAATGTTATAATGCTTTTTTTAATTTATTATTCTGTTTTTGTTAGAGAAAATAGTAACTTCGTTAAGTCATGAAAAGTTGTTGGAATTAATCCTGGAAAGTCATGAATATCTAAAGTATAGCAGGTACCCTGCCTTTAGATAGGTACATTATTTACCTTGTACTGGAGCTGCACAGCGAGCTATTGGCAACGCTTGAGAAGCATTCCTGAGGATGAGCTGCAGACTTATCATCACAGTTTTGATTCTTGGTTTTGGTAGTCCGACAATCTACACAAAGTTGAGCACTTTACGGTAGAACAGTTTTACATGGACTGATACCCTGCTCCTTAGGTTGGTGGATCTAAGCTAGGTGATCACATACTGATTGTAGCCAGTAATGCTTGACTTTGGTGTTCTACTGGACCAGTCCACTGTGGGACCATCCCAGAAGATCAGGGTAAAACTTGCCCCCACCCCTGGACAAAACTGCAACATATTTTTGAATAGATACTTATACAGAAATATTTTGAATGAATAGGTTACAGAGTTCAAAAATCATAAAAATATTGTAAAGTACTAAAGTATTTTAAAAAATTGGCACTTCAAATAAAATCTATTATTACGAAGTTTAAAAGTTACTATTTCCTCCTAAAAAAGGGCATTGTTCACAAATATTTGCCAGGGGTCTATCTAGGTATTTTTTAGAGGTACATGTTTTGTGAAAATTTAGACATAATTTGTGAAAATTTAAAATTTTGTTGAAAAATCACAAAAATATGATTAAGAAAGAAAAAATATTTTTAAAAATTGGCACTTCAAATTAAAATCATTTATGATAGGTAAATTTCTGTAAATTTTTCCCTATATAAAGAAAGATAATTTCGCTATTGTAAAATTGTGGGCTTAAAATTGCATAAAAATCATTGTCCATAGTTAAATTTCAACTTGAATTTAATAAAAACATTCATTTAGCAATACTAGCACTAAAAGCTATTTTCATTATGATAACATTTTTGACTAGCTCATAACAGAAAAAAAGTTTCACAGAGAAAAAAATTTTTTCATAAAAAATAAAGCACTGTTAGAATAAATTTACAATAGTGTTTAAGATAATGTTTGAAAGTTTAAAATAATGTTTGAATTTTGATTTTCTATGAAGTTTACAAAGGGAGACCCTTGCTGTTTCATTTTAAAAAATCAGCTAAAAAAAAGCTCAACTTTGATATGGCGTTAGTGAGCGGTTAGGTTCACCATATTGCTGTATCTGACCAAACATGTGCTACCTTTTCGTAAAAGACATCTGGCAAAACAGCTCCTCTTTTCCCTAGATTGTATGAGGACTTGCTTTATTAAAAGTATTTTGTGAAACTACCATTTTTCTACTAAGTTGAATTTGTGAACATACCGCTAAACGGTAGTNTAACAAAATAAAATCACTACGGGACCCATCACAAAATAATTTATCTTTTAATCGGACCCTTCACAAATTTGTTTATCTTCATTATTGGTTTGTTAAAACTTCTGTCAATTTTTTTGAAAAAAATATTATATATTTAAGAATTGTTTAAGTGTACTTAATGCGTTACACATTAAAAGTGATACATTACTAGGTTGTGTTATTTAAAATATATCAATTGAAATTATTAAAAATGTGAGTGTTTCCATTATTCATCCGAAATGAGTATTCTGCGTTCAGCAGTATAGGATAAATACCAAATATTTGTTTGTTGCATCTCTAATTCAGTTGCAGCATTTGCTGTTTATTTTTCAAAATTTAATTTTTTTAAAATTTAATTTTTTTAAAATTATAATTTTACAGTATTGAGCATAATCTTATATCTATTTACAATTTAAAAACTTCTTGTAAAGGATTTTTGCAATAACCGTACCTTATTTGCACAAATTCTCAAAAACAGGACCCTGGTTGAAAGAATCTGACTTAACGCTTATTTTATATTCAGAAATTACGAGTAATTTTTTCGCAATTTTACAAAGACCAGACCTTTCACAAAATGTCTGGACAGACCCCTGATGATGATTTACACATATTTAACATTGAAAAAATCGTTTGATATCATTGATCGACAAAAAGCTACGCTGCTCAATGTTGTATATAATTTTTGTTTTTTATCTTAGAAACCAAACCATTCCCTTCGTTTTGTTTTCATTTTTTAATTTCTTTGCAATTACTTAGAAGAATTTAGTTTACTTAGTATTTAGTTATTCTGTAAAAAAAAAATTTGCATTTAAATTTCATTTATTTTAAGAAGCTAAAACTAAGTGTATTTTTCCTTTTTATTTAGTTTAAGGCAGTTAAAAATAGAATTGATAAAACCAACTATTTTTTATTTCAGTTTTTTATTGATATTAAATAATAAAAATACATATTTTTTTATATATTATTTTAAACTCTGCAGGGGTCTGTCTCGGTTTTAAGACATAATTTGTGAAAATTAAAAATTATCAAGAAAATATGGATTTATCATTTCGTATGGGATACAAAAATAAAATTCAAGGAAAAGGTATTTTGTGAAACTACCATTTTTCCTAAAGTTGAATTTATGAAAGTACTGCTAAATGGTATTAAATTTGGCCTGGACAGACCCCTGCTCTAGCATGATAGCATGATTGATCTAATATGATTTACAAGAATAGTAATTTTAATTACTGTTGTTGTAAATCATATTACTTATTGTATTTATAAGGGTCTTTGAAGGATTTTCTTATTAATTATTTTGGTTTTGTTATAGGTTAAAAACAAGACACCAGCAGAAATACAAATAACTGCCGAACAACTATTGAGGGAAGCAAAAGAGAGAGACTTGGAAATTTTGCCACCAGTACGTTTATTTTTGCTAAATAATTTAGCATTGTGTATATTTTAAGTTTTTTTTTTCTTCGTACAAATGATTATATTTTATAACATCTGGTTTTTTTACGCAATGTGTTTTTTGATTGTCTCAATTGTTTAAAACTAATTCTAGCAGCTTTTTTAGATCATGGTGCTTAGCGTTTTTGAAAAGTGCTTAAAGGTGCTTATTTTCCATTTTCATTATTTAAAAGTCCTTAAAGGTGCTTTTTTTCATTGGATGTTTTTAAAAAGTGCCTAATTTTTGCTTTTCAAAAATGAAAATTTTCTTCTTGTAGATTTTCGCCGCTGATTATGCAAAAGCGTGCTTTTTACATTGTTCTATTCAACGTTTTCACAATTCATTTAACCACAATCCATTTCGACGATAATATGGATTTGGCGTACCATGAATCCATAGCATATGAAAGTGAAAGCGCCAATCATTTTAGAAAAAGTTGCGAGTTTGTATATACGTATACTGAGCTGGGTTCGGTAAGATTATTGCCTTCTCATGTGCAACTTTGCTGCATTTTGCAAGATATTCTCAATTTCAGACTTCATTTTCCACCCTCTGAAATCAAACCGAAAAATCTCTCGATCGTTTTATAACAGCTAATATAATCAGGAAAAGAGATCTTTGTCAGAAATTAGTTACTTTCAGTCTTTGAAAATTGATTAACAATTTGTTAATGTATATAGTGCTTAAAAATATTTTTGAGTGCTTAAAAAGTACTTAAGAGGTGCTATTTTTATGTCGAAAGATTTGACTATGCACCTTGTAGATGAGGGTAGTATAGCCATTAAAAACTTGAGTTTTGTTCAATAGATATTTATGTAGGATAAAAACATCAGCAAGTTAATGTAAGATGAAGGAAATACATGTAGACGTAATGGATAATGATGAATCCCTAATTCTCTTTTGCAAGTATCTAAGAACTTAATCTTGTACTTTGTAAGATTGATGATGATGTGAAGTATTCGGTTGCATAAAATGAAGTATTAGCGGAATAATTGTTAATGAATTAAATACTATGTTTGTTGTTAAGTAGCGGTTATTTGGAGTTATTCTATTGTTATTTTGTTGAAGTTTTAAGTTTTGTGGAATTTGGATTTTTACATTTATGTTTTCCTTGCCTCTGACTATTCAACTCTCAAGCATCAAAGTTTTAAATGGTACAAAAATCTGCACACCTGGAAAGCCATGAGGAATCATGGAAAGTCATGAATTTCAGAATTGAGCAAAATTTTTCTTGCTTTTAATTATTTTTTTTAAAAAAATCATGGAAAGTCATGGATTTTGGTTGCCGAAAAATCTAATTTTTAAAATGGAATTTACCCCCCCCCCCCNTTTCCCCCCCCCCCCATTTTCTGAGTTTGAAACAAAATTAAAACTCACAGTCATATTTTATTAAAGTATAAAATATTTTTATCATGTTCTTTAAAAATTATTTTGTTCTTTCAAAAATTGAAAGAAAAAAACATTTCTAGAGCGAATTATCTTTTAAACTTTTGTGATTTTAGAATTTTTGTTATTTAATATTTTCAGCTATTTTATTGCTTCAACTCTTTTTTTACTCTGTTTTTTAAATTTAAAATAAATATGAAGAGTCAGAGTTTCAGTTTTGGTTATACCTGTCATTATAATTAATGCTATTGTAATGCTTTTTAAAAATTTATTGTTGTGTTTTTGTCGGAAAAAATAGTAATTTTGTTAAGTCATGGAAAATTTTGGAATTAGTCATGAATTTGAAAATCTAAAATGTAGCAGATACATTGAATATATATAAAACTTGTACAAATAAGATAAGGAGAAAAAAAAAGAAAGGGACATTTCCAAAATAACAAAAGAATAAATAATTTTAACTGTCCGAACAAAATGTTATATTAATCTGATACTGTATATTAGGAATATTATTTCTGATTAGAAATTAAAGTTAATTTTGAATTAATTAATTTTTAGGATTTTTCTCTCTTTTACATAATGCCTATCACAATTAATTTATTTGTAAGCATGTATCATTTGCATTTTTAAGCATGTATCTACATTTGTTTAAATATTTTTTTTTCTTCAATTATTTATTTTCACATTCATGATGTATGCCTGATCAGTGAAATTAGTCATACAACATTTCTTGATTTATGTAATTTAATTTATGTTACTTATAAGTAAGAAATGTTGCATCTTTCATTTTTATGATTCAAGCATTATGTTCAATCCCAACTTGCTGTTATTATTATCACTATTACAGTCAACTTCACAGAACTGGAACTTCACTATATCCGTACTGCAAACAATTTTAACTAATGGTTTCAAACTCCCCCTTTTCATTACAGATTATTTAAATAAATGACCAATAAAATGAATTACAAAAATGACTGAAAAATAATACGTAGCAACAAAAATGTGTTAACTTTTTTTTTTTTTCTATTCGTCACACATACAAAAAAAAAAGAAAAGGAAAGAAGTAATCTTTAGCTGATGCGCAATACTCCACATCAGATATGGAAACACTTCCCGACACTCCGATAATTTTTCCTGAATTTATATTATTCCGCTTTTTAAACCTGTCTACCCAGGCATTCGAGCACATGAAAGTAGTAAAATCAAATAGCTCAAAAAATTTATCTGCTTTGACTTGAATCATTTGTCCAGATACTAGAAGATTGCGGCTTCTTTGAATGCTGAACCAATTCAATAATAAAGCAAACAGGAAAAAAATGCTTGTTGCTACATTCCATGCTATAGATGGTTTTAAAAATCGGTATATGTATTTATTTTGAAGTAGAATTTTTAAATTATTAGAAAAAAATGAAGAAAATAAATCAGTCAAAGACAGAAAAAAGTTCTTCATATCCAACTTCCTCTCTTTTTTTTTGTTTCACTATATCCACAAAAAATAACACTATACATGTGTAGCAAGGCGAACATTTCGTTCACTATAAACCGTGTTCACTATATTGGGGTTTGGCTGTATTATATATTTGGCCTATTATTGAAAAAGAGGCTGTGTATCTCTAAGATGAAATTTTATTTTTCATTAACTTTGAAAAATTTGTTTTTTTTGGATAATGTTGCAGCTATTTTAAAATCTTTATTTTCATGGAATCCTAAATTTTATAGTTTTATATTGTCTTTTGTTTATTAAAACACACAATTTTTTTAAATTTATTTATTTATTAAATAATTTTGATTTCTATAGCCTCCTAAGCAAAAGATATCTGATCCTGAAGAGCTTGCTGAATATCAACTTAGAAAACGAAAGGTAAAATATGATATATCCTTCTTTAAAAAATATCACATTGTTATGTTATATTTGTAGTGGATTATTAACTTGTTGGAACAGTACTTGTTGGAGAAGGTTGTCATTGCATGTTTTCGACCTCGGGAGCTATTTGTATATAACGTGTCTTATATACAAGCAGCTCCCGACTGGTAGCTTTAAGCCTGTGGGTATCTACAATGTCAACCTTCATCTATGAAAAGGTACCCCGACATAGAATCAAGTTAACATGTCTTATATACTAGTGAACTGGAATTATAATTTTGTAGTGGTAGACACACTACAAGCTCACCTAGCTCCAGCTCAATCGGTACCAGCTTGTCTAGAGGGCCTGTGCATAATTCAAACCACATTACTACAATCATGATTGCAAAATTGATTACAAAATTGATTACCATTGATTACAAAATTGTGGAGCCTCATCCTTCTGGCCCACAACAGCCTGTTGTGAGAATTAATCTGTTCAACTCCATGATAATGATTAACTTCAGTTTTATCCATGGAATGCCATGTGTATCACACTTTAACAGCAGTTTTGTAGGGTTGCAGAATATATCTGATGGTGTAAACGAGGTTCAGAGAAAATTGAGCAGCCCCGGAATTTTTTTTTTGTCCAATTAAAAAAAAAGAAAAGAATGCTGTAAAAAAAATTTTCTTAAAAAAATTTCTACAAAATTTTAGATTAAAAGCACATACTTTTATTGATATATTTTTGTACAAAGTTTATTTTAACTCCTTAGACACATCAGTTTACTGTCTAAAAAGAATATTTACTCTTTTGTTAAATATAACACAAATAATTTTATAGCTTAATTTGTTAGATTACTTGTTTTAATTCCTTAAATTTATGAGTAGGACTTTAAATTAACTAACATTTGTTAAAAACCAATTCCTATCTGTTTAAAGCCAAACATAAAACTAATAAAGAAAATTTTTTATAGAAATAATTTTCCTGTATATTTAGACATAAGCTTTTAATACGAATAAATATATATTAGTAAATTTTTAAATTATTAAAATTTTGCTAGTTTTCGACAGTTTGTAAAACACAGGGGTTTCGTCTAAACAGTAGCCTCCCTCAAATAAGAATATGTTTGGTAATTTATTTATATTGATTAGTTTTGTACCAATTATTGTTTTTAATTTGACAGTTTTATTAACTTAGTAACACACATTCTTAAAATCAGCTAAATGTTACTACTGGACTGAGCAGGCAGACAGTAGTAATATTATATAGTAGTTTGAAATATTTTATTGAAATTGCTTTTATAATTTTAATATAGTAAAAAAAATGATTTTTAAAATTTTTTTCCCGACCCTTTGAATCGAACTTGGCACTTTTGTATCTGTTATGAAAACAAAACATCGAAATCCAACCAGTGACCAT